AGATTAAAAGAAGATTTAGGTTTTAACTAATACAGCATTGGCATATTGGCTTACACTCATTGATAATTCACGTTGCAACACTGCAGCAAATTGACCAATTCTAAATAAAAGGACATTCTTAAAATAAGAGCCAGAAAACCAACCGGAACATGCTTGTACCTGAACGACTGCACTTGCAGTGGCACTTTCTGGCTCTGTTCCCGTAACCGACATACATCCTTGGAAGCTTTTCTCATCAATTTTTCAGCACTTAAACCCTGTTTCTGTTCCTCCTTTGATTGTTCAGCCTGTAGAGGGGGGAAAAAATTACAACATCCAGCAACTGACAATTTCAAAGAGGCTGTAGGAGGAAGAATGTGGAGTTAAACTCATCAGGCAAAATCTCTTTATACAAGGGAGTTAATGGAACATAGCACAAAGTTACTGACATCTCAAGTAGAAGTGATGAGTATCGCTTCAATAGGGAGCTGGGCATTAATTTAGAAAAGGAAAGAATGCACCACCACCTCCACTAGCTAGATGCCTGAGGTGAGATAAATTATTTCCTGGGTTTATAACTGACTAGGGCCATGCCAGTTTGAACAATACCAGTCACTGCCTGGCCAAGTGTTTAGTTACAAAAGAACTAGAAAGAGAAGGTGCCTTCCTCATATTTAAAATATTTCTGCCCATTTATACTTCTCTACAATGCTCATCTTACCAGCTTCTTAAAAAGAGACTGGCTTGTGACTAGAGCTTAGCCCCTCTAATGTTAACAATTTTAGATCTATTACTTACAAATGACCATTTGTTTTAGTATTGCTAAGGAAAATAGGAGGGCTGTCGATTAATCATAGTTAACTCACATGATTAATCAAAAAATTAATCGCTATTAATCACCGTTTTAATCATACCGATAAACAATATTAAATATTTTGGATTTTTTTCTACATTTTCATATATACTGTAGTCTGTGTTGTAACTGAAATCAAAGTGTACATTTTTTTATTATAAATATTTGGCACTGTAAAAATTATAAACAAAAGAAATAGTATTTTTCAATTCACCTCCTACATGTACTGTAGTGCAATTGCTTTGTCATGAAAGTGCAACTTACAAATATAGATTTTTTTTTGTTACATAACTGCACTCAAAAACAAAACAATGTAAAACTTCAGAGCCTACAAGTCCACTCAGTCCTACTTCTTGTTCAGCCAATCGCTAAGACAAACAAGTTTGTTTACATTTACCGGAGATAATGCTGCCCTCTTCTTATTGACAATGTCCCCAGAAAGGGAGAACAGGCATTTGCATGGCACTTTTGTAGCTGGCATTGCAAGGTATTTACATGCCAGATATGCTAAACATGTGTATGCCTCTTCATACTTTGGCCACCATTCCAGAGGACATGCTTCCATGCTGATGATGCTTGTTAAAAAAATAATGCGTTAATTAAATTTGTGACTGAACTTCTTGGGGGAGAATTTTATGTCCCCTGCTCTGTTTTACCTAAATTCTGCCATATATTTCATGTTATAGCAGTCTCGGATGATGACCCAGCACATGTTTGTTTTAAGAACACTTTCACTGCAGATTTGACAACACACAAAGAAGGTGCCAATGTGAGATTTCTAAAAATAGCTACAGCACTCGACCCAAGGTTTAAGAATCTGAAGTGCCGTCCAAAATCAGAGAGGGATGAGGTGTGGAGCATGCTTTCAGAAGTCTTAAAAAAGCAAAACTCTGATGCAGAAACTGCAGAACCCAAACCACCAAGAAAGAAAATCAAGCTTCTGCTGGTGGCATCTGACTCAGATAATAAAAATGAACATGCATCAGACCACTCTGCTTTGGATCGTTAACAAGCAGAACTTGTCATCAGCGTGGACACATGTCCCCTGGAAAGGTGGTTGAAGCATGAAGGGACATATGAATCTTTAGAGCATCTGGCACGTAAATATCTTGCAACGCCGGTTACAACAGTGCCATGAGAACGTCCGTTCTCACTTTCAGATGACATTGTGAACAGAAAGCGTGCAGCGCTATCTCCAGCACATGTAAACAAATTTGTTTGTCTGAGCGATTGGCTAAACAAGAAGTAGGACTGAGTGTACATGTAGGTACTAAAGTTTTACATTGTTTTATTTTTGAATGCAGTTGTTTTTTGGTACATAATTCAACATTTGTAAGTTTAACTTTCATGATAAAGAGATTGCACTACAGTACCTGTATTAGGTGAATTGAAAAATAATATATATATTATATATATATATATTTTTACCAGTGCAAATACTTGTAATCAAAAATAAATAAGAAGTGAGCACTGTACACTTTGTATTCTGTGTTGTAATTGAAATCAATATATTTGAAAATGTAGAAAAATCCAAAAAATATTTAAATAACCGGTATTCTATTATTTTTTTGTGTGATTAATTGTGATTAATTTTTTTAATTGCTTCACAGCCCTAGAAAATAGTATTTTTGTGGCAGTCACCGAATTGAACCGTGGAGTTGGGGTACAGCCAGGCAGCATTTTGGAGCAAGTGAGACCATCCCCCTCCCTAGGCTTCAGAGCCAAGTTTCAGCCTGAGCCACAGCTTCAAAGTGCTGTCTACACAGCTACTTTTAGACTGCTAATGTGAACCCTGCTAGCCCAAGTCTGTCTACACACACACTGGGAGGCTCGCTCCTGCTTGCTCCAAAATGCTATGAAGACATACCTTAAATGCACGGCTACAAAAAGCAGCACACTTGCAACCTGTTGAAAATGAACATCACTAATTTACCTTCAACAACAAAGTCTATTGTTCTGACATTTTTTAATATGCTCCTATTTCTTGCACTTCATTTTTTTTAATTAGAAGCAATTTTGCAGTAATATAAGAGAAAATATCCACTTCAGAACATTAATACTTAACCACACATTTTAAAGGTGAGAGAAGGAAAAACAAAGCAGCAAAAATAGCTTTTTTTCTTGTTTGTAAACGATCATTATATTAAAAAATTGTTCTACTATACTTGCATCGTGTCTCTGCACCAGTGATTTAGAAAACTTACCACCCCGAATAAAGCTATGGTCAGTGTTAGTATCACTGCTGAAACCACACAACCATCCCTCTGGAAATCCCTCTCTCCCCTCAAAATATCAAGTCAGATTTTAAAATTGAGGTTAAAACTGAAATATTTTCCCCATTAGTTCTTGGACACTAGCAAGCACGGTCTATAAACAGCAAGAATAGCAATCTGCAACTTATTTCTGGCAATGTAAAGTAACACTTGGAACATTAATACATGTTTTATCAATGTCCATCTGTTAAAATCACAAGCATTCCCAGCTAATGTTGACTATCGCAATATGTAAACATATGCTATTTCAAGTTTTCTACTTTTATTTTCACTTCACAGATCTATGAAATGTCTGGAAATTGTACCACATTTACGAGTAAATAGCAGGAAAGGAATGTGCTGTCTCTGATAAAAGCAGAAACAAAACATCTACAGTGAGAAAGACAGACTGTCAAAAGAAAATTTTCAGCAGATCTGGAAAAAGCTCTCCCTGGGTCACCTCTGCATTTTCAGCACAGGGCAGAAAAGGTCACAGCCACATGATAATGCTTCTACGGTTTAAGAAAGATAAAATAGCCCCAATTCTCTCCCTCCCTTCTGCAAAGTGTTACAAAATCATTTTAATAAAGGATAGAGAGGCATTTATAGAAGTTCTGGTGATACCAGGTAACCTTTTAGTATGGATGTAAGGAGCGATATAGTACATCATGATCATGCCACAGCTTACAGTTTGTAATTATCTGGGGACAGCACTTGCAAGAATGACTGGTAGGACTTTTTGTTATACAAAGCCTTGAACTAGCTCACTTCAGTACTTAACAGCACCCAAGGAGTTTGTGCTAGCACTACAGGCAGGGGCAACAGACTGGCCACTCTGCCAGACTTGAAATGACCTGTTACATCTCTGCCCACCAATCCATTTATCAAAGTGCTTGCAGCTCCCATTTCAAAACCTGAAAAAATAGCAGTGGAGAAGTGTGTTTTCAGAGCACTTTCAGTAACTGAGTTGCAGGCCCTGTTTCCCCTACCTGAGCAATTCCTACATCAGGTACTGGAGGCACCATGAGCCTGCACTCTCATATTTAATTGGGAAGGGGCTGAGTTTGCACCTTCCCCCAATGGAAGCAGCAGACGCTTCAGCTGATCTTGGGAAATCCATGGAGGCAGATACCTCAGTAAACAGGCCCTGTGCCTCTGTACTGGCTTCCCAGCCCCTCCCTCCCTCACCTCCAACTTCTTCTGAACCTACAGCTGTATGGTTTCTGATTGGGATCCCCCACTAACCATTGCTCTTAGAGACCCCTTGGTGGCAAGAGGGTTACATGAGGGAATGTTGCCACCACCAGTAGAACTCACACACTGTCCTTGTCCCAACCTTACCCAGGACATACAACTTGGACTCCATGGGGATAGTGGAAGATGCCACAGAGGCTGCACTCTGCTTTTGCTGCTTCTTCCCCATCTTGATCCCCTGTACCTTTCACCTGTGGGTATGGAGGGGACAAGGACACCCTGAAAAAAAGCAATGCAGATCATTTGGCTCTCGCTAACTCCAGTTTTATTAAAGCTCAGTGCAGCATCACCAAGCTACCACATCACACACTGTAGGTAAAAAGGTGAGTGAGCCTTAAGACAACTGAGCACAGGAAAGCTCTCCCCTGTCTAAGCACATGAGTTCTCAAATCACTGTACAGAACAGACCCACATGATGATAGACATTTTCTCTTATCCCCTTACCAACAGAATGGACCATCTCCCATCCCCATTCATGAATGTGGAGATCATCTCCCTTCATCAGTGTAAGGAGCTGAGACAGTGATTAGGTGAATTTACCTCACGTAAAGTGGTAAGGGCTTAAGTGTACTAAATCAATCATATACACATACATACACACACACACAAACGCGCGCGCGCGCTACTAATATATAAGGAGGTGCATAACCAATATAATCAATACAATGAGTTGGCTAGTTTTTAGGGTTACCTGTAAATAACCCTTTTTGGGAAGAAGTGCACAACAAAGCCATTTGACTAATTCAGATTTAACTTACTGTGTATTCTCTTATTCAGCTCTTGAAATGTCCCTGATATTTGGGGCACACAACAAGGATGAAGTTACAATGAAATGTCACAATGACCCAGCCAAATATAATCAGAATAAACAAGGAAAGTCCCCAAAGTACCAGACAAATTCACAAGTTATACAAGTAAACAAGTTATACAATTTAGGGCACAATGCAGAATGTTATATTTGTTCATAAAACTTTATTATTATGTAATGAATCAGAGGAGAGGGATATTGATAAAAATATAGAATTATCTTGGGTATAAAAGACTGTACTGAGACGTTAAGTCTTTGCCGAGGGTGCTTGCAGCCTGTTCACTGGCCCACCACCCTCAATTGATCACTGAGGTGTGGTACTTTGTACCTATGCTGAAATAAACCTGTTCCTTGGATCCGAACACTGGAGTTAGCAGTGGTTTTGTCTGTTATAGCAAGCAGTCATTGTCTACTTTGCAGACATTTAATATGAGTGTTTAGATGTTTTGGAAAAAAAGAATAAAGATGTCTAACTTTTGCTGTTCTTTCTATTTCTCCTTCCCACTTGCTCCATTTTTCTCAGCTGAAAACCAGGTGAACAGCTATCACCTAACTCTCTGCAGACCACTAAAAAGTGCTCTAGAGAGCACAGTTTGGCAGCCTCTGAGCAGATTAATGCCTGGGGTGAGTAAGTTTCATATTGATTCAATGCAACAATTCATTTCTGAACAGCTGTTCTAATTTCCTACACTGAATTGCAGTATGAAAGCGCACAGGATACCAGTTCAAAACGTCTTAAAAATGAGAGACCCTCAAAACATAAATTTGAATTAATTCTGTCAGGGGATGTTTAAGATCTGAGGTTTTGACTCAGGCCCAACTTTTATATCGGGTTTTATACTGCCTAAAAAGAAACATCTGTGGATGGCAGTTTTGTTTTATTATACAGTTGATAAGATATATGTCTTTATTTCTGCAATTGCACTTCAAAAAAAGTCAGTTCTGCAAGCATAACATGTAAACAGGGTGCTGAAACCAAAGATTTGTCTATGTGGCATTAACCTCATATTACAGATTATCTCCATATGGAGAGGTTAATTTACCAAATAGGGAAACAGAATGGGCTTTTTTTTTTTTAATGAAATTTGGAAATCTTTCCCAGAAGGGTACAGTGGATCAGAACTTTAGAGGACACTATACTCCAGATATGTAAATACTGAGCATGTGATGAGAGCTATTTTAGGGAACTCATTTTATTTATTATTAAAATATTAAGACACCTAAAACTTATTTTGAAATGCTGGATAATGTTTCTATTTTTTCTGATCTCTTCTGTCTCCTTAACCCTATTCAAACCAGAAGAAATACATCCTATTGCAGAGAAACTATACAAGGTTCTCTGCATTATGGATGACCACACTAGCCCTGTTGGAGTGGGGGCTATACACCCTATATGTGCAGGGGAGGTCTCCACATTGGTTCCAAATAGGTTGCTGTGGTGGGACTGTTGTAGCAGGCCAGAAAGGGACCACTGAATTTTTGTTTACATTGGTTACTGGGAAATCCCCCATGCCTTCAGATTTTGTTTTCACTGAAGATTATTTAAAATTCTCCTGAACTTGCTGTAGCTGTATTGGTCCTAACTATGCTGGGACTTGCAGGCTTTGTAAAGAAATACGACCATGTTGTCTAGACTAGCCTGTTTAGCCAACATAGTGATAAAGTGGCACTAGCAGCCAGTCTACAATAGCATTTTCAACATTGCTAGCACTGTTGGCGACTGCATCAGTACTAAAACAACCAACCACAACCACTCAACCCAACCGCAGAGAGTATCCTACAAGCTCTCAGTGTAGACAGCTGTAGAAGGTACAGAGACTGATTCGTAGCCTGGAACAGAGGCATTAGAAGGGACTGTACTGTAGCACTACAACCTGAATGCAATTTGGGGGTGGATGCCATTATCCTTAATTCTCCACAAAAGCCTAGGCTTTGCACTGAGATGGATGAGAACTTCAGCCATTGGTCCCCTGACACTAGAAATGTAAATACTGAATACATTGGGTACTTCCTTGAGGGACTGGCTAAATTTAGATAGTAAATATAAAATAATAAGTATTAAGGGACTTTTACAGTACTAACTAATGCAGAGATATGTACATGGTAATGGGGATAACTATTGATTGAAGTTATCCCTTAGTTTTTAATAAGGTAATAGCTTCATATTTGTCTAAAGTGTGGTGGTAGAAATAAGGTCTGATACTCAATTGCTTAACAAATTTATCTTTTTTTCTTAAATAATCAAACTTTTCTAGTTACAAAACAACAAGAAGGAGCTTAAACATACACAAAGAATCCACGTGGATAAAAATAACAAACTTTGCACTATCAGCACATTTCACCCAAGAATCTTTTCCCAACACGGAGCCCTCCACACTACTGTGTGCTAGTATTACATAACCATTTTAGAAAACAAGGAACTGAGGGACAGAGAGGATATGTGCCTTGCTTACAGAGAGTCTGTGGCAGATCCAGTAATTTATCCACGCAATGTGAGCCCCTACATTGCTCTAATCAGTAGACTACTTTACATACCATTTCTTACTTATTTTTTAATCTTTTCTGAAATGCACCTACCTCTTGGTGGGTGAAACTCAGCTCTCCCTGGCCAAAGTCAGAAGAAGGCTGTTCTGAAGGACAAACTCAACTGGGGTGGGGGTCCTGTGGGGCTGCTGCACAGTGCCTCCACAGGTATTATTACAGTCTATAGTCTCATATCATGGCTTCTGCCTATCTATGCCCTCTCTGTTGAGGTTTCTATTCAGCTACATCTGTGTAGAGTTTGAGCCAGCTACCACTGAATAGCAACTCCCCCCCGCCCCCCCCAAACAAAACAAAATCATTGACTTCAATGGGAGGAAGACTGGGATTTAAGATTATTAAACCTTTAAACGGATTTCTATATTGTGTCAGAACACAAACCCCACCTCCAAATGAAAAAGAGCGTTTCACCTCCAAATTAATTGGCTACTCAATTTGATGTTCAACTTTAGAATAACATTACTTCTGGTGTTTAGCGAATTCTAGGTTTAAATAAATAAATAAATAAATAAATACTTGATCCTGGATTAATTCTTTAGTAGATTTTTTCCTTAGATTTCCCATGATCTTTTACTGATGTTACATAATTCAGCTTTGTATTTAGTTAAACTTGATACTCCTGTAAATATCTTCTAAAAACATCTAAACAACCAAATCTATCAAATAACCTATAGTAAAGGGTTTTTAATTTTTTTAATACTACTATGGAACCATTCCATCTATAGACACATTACAGGACATTTTTCATTTGTGCTTCCTTCACAACCAGACTATAAGGACTAGGTTTTTAAGCACAGACCTCCCTGGAAATAAAGGAGTGCTTATCGTAAAGTGATGGAGTTGTTCACTATTTATACCTGCTTTTCAGCTTGTTTCAAGAGCTTTTGGAATCGCTCATCCTCCAACACACACTGGGGAAGGTCAGTCTCTCCTCTGGCTTTCATCTCCTCAAGCTTCTGTTTAAGATCGCGCAGTGCCTGAAGTTCATCGTTCAGCCGATTCTGTCGCGTCCGAGATGCCTGGAGGTCCAGCTCCAAGTCAAGAGAAGTGCGTACAGGGTGCTCTTGCGTAGCTCTTCGCATGATCGACTGGCATGCAGGCTGAATTGTTCAGGAACGATAATGTAATAAAAAGTAAGAGTACATTTAATATACAAAGGCTGAGGTAAGGAGTTGCCAGTTGGGTAAGGAATGTTCACATTTATTTTTTCTGAGCACAAGTTGCCATACCAGATCAGGTCAAAGTCCACAGGCCATCTACTCTGGAACTCTGCTTTTGGCAGCAGCCAGTGCCTAACGCTTCACAAGATGCTGTAAAACTCCTATAGTTTGTACATTACAGGTGCCATATGGCTATGCCAGAATAGCCATGCCAGCATAGCCCCCAATGTAGATGAAGCCTCCACTTCCAGGAGTTTTTCTGTCTATCAGAACACTACCTCCCTGAATGACATTAGCTATGTTGCCAGAAGCCCTCTCTCATGAAGATACAGGTGAGTCTCATCTTACGTGGGGGGGTTCCGTTCCGCAGTTAGCACATAAAGCGAAAACCGCATATAGTCAAAATTACATTGAGTTGAATGGCAGGCGGAATTGCCCACCCTATAGGTACAGTATTAAAATTGTTATTTTTCTCTTTTTTTTGTTTTTGCCGACCGCGTAAAACTGAAATCACGCATGTTAAATGCACGTAAGATGCGACGACCTGTAGCTGCATCTACAGTGGGGCTTTTGTTGGTTTTTTCACTCCCTTGACTGATATAGCTATGCTGACATAATTTATGTGTAGACCAAAAGCCTTAGCGAAAAATTGCTTTCTGACCCTCACAGCAACACAATTATGAAGTATGAGATTTAACAGTCTTTAGCTTTCCTAGCTCTGCATGTGTCATTAATAGTCATAAAATTATCCAGGACTTCTAAAGTTCCAGACATAGCATTTGATTCAATGACCTCCTGTAGCAGGCCTCAATCCAGCAAGGCACTTAAATACATGTCTAACTTTAAGCGCGAGTAGTCCCATTGATTTCAGTAGGACTATTAATTTTCTAAAGTACCTTGCTGATTCGGGAATGCCAGAGATTGACCATAGTCTGTAAACAAGTATTTCCCTTTCAGTGCTTCAAATTTACTTCCTTTAATTAAATTGAGTTTTCTCACATGATGGTCAGAGTAAACCCCCCCAACTTTGCAATCTCTTCTCCTACATCAACTCTGCCATTCTGCTAAGTACAGTCAGCCTTCCTTAGACCCTTTCAATGCTTGTTGTATCTCTGAAGCCTAGTAACCAAAAATGGACACAGCCCCCTAGGTGAGAATGTAAATTTCATTTTATGTATTGTCATAATATCCTTTTCTCCTTCAAATCCCTTCATTATTCACAAAAGATCTTGGAGGAAATTCATTGAAAAAGAAAACTTAAGTATGGTTGAACCCTTGAAACTATGGGATTTCCCAACCCTTCCACCAAAAGTACGTTTAGGATGAATGTTGTCTGTGTGTTCTTTATGTATACTGTATATAAACATGCATAATATATTATTTTATATTTAAATAGTGTGTCGCATTATTGAAGGATCCCTATGACTTTTATACACTGTACAGCATATCTCTGAAACAACTAACCCTAAATGTGAGGGTGGCAACTATCTGGCACACATCCTAATAGTGAGGAAGGTGCAATTCTGCCCCAGGGTACCAGGGCAAACCTCTACTCTCACAAGAAATGCCATGGGATCGTTACTATCCAAACATTGGTGAGACAATTTTGTTGCTAAAGGTCGCATTCAACGGACCTAGACACAATTAATGGAACTCTGTTGATCTGCTTTGGAAAGATGATGGGCCATGACACAGTTGTGGCAAGATTTGGATCTGGGATCCCAGGGAGTCTGGGTGTTTCAAAGAGATGCTGAGATCACTCTATAGATTCCAGACGCCTAAAATCAAGCTGATGGTTTAAAATTAAATAGAAAAAAGTAGCAGATATGTGGATCACTGCTCAGGTGAGACGGCACTTACCCTTTTAACTCTCAAGCTCCGTCGTTCTGTGGCATTTCTCACAAAGAGAGACTTTTTGGCCAGTGTTGAGCTGTCACTGTCACTTCGATTCAGCTGTCAAAATATGGATATAAACACTCTGATATAAAACAGCGGTATATTTCAATACAAGGCTTGTTCTGTTTTTAAGTTAGAAACATTTAGAAAACCTCGTGGATGTGGGTCATTCTTGGGGTTCAATAAAACCTCTCAGTCCGATAAAATATATGTTCAGGGTTAGCATCTTAAAGAGCGCAGAGACATTTACTGCATGAAAGCAATCTGAAGCCACATAATGAACCCTAGGCTATTTAGTGGTGCTGAAGGATAACATTAGATAATTTTACTCAATTTTTGTTCTTCAATTTACATTGCCAGTCCGGACAATATCAGTGGTTCTATAACATGAATATAAACATGCCCCCCATACACATCAAGATATTTCAGCAGTTTTTACTTGGAAGCAAAACGATGATTCAGCCAGTAGGTTGGCAACCTAACCTAGCTGAGACCCCATTTCCCAACATTTTGAAAGTCAAGCCCCCCTTTCAGGGGAAGGGAATCCCCTGCTACCTCATGTACTGTTAAAGGCCCACTCACCTTAATTTAATCAATCTTATATGCCTCCCCTGGGGGAGTTGTGCCCAATACTGGCTTAGCCAATCATATTCTCTTCCTCATAGAGCACATGACAGTCACAGCATAATGACGACACAGGTGATGGAAGGTTACTCATGGCTTGAAATGGATTGTTGCATCAGTCATCAATTATGGTGAAATTAAAATAGGATCATTTGCAGTTTACAATATTTTTACTGAAAATGCATTGTGGATTGTTTAAAAAGTTTAATTAGCTTAGCACAGGGCATATTGCCAAAGCATTGGCTGTTTTACAGTCCTCTTACTTCCAAGGTTGCGAATACTATTCACTTGCCTGGGGTAGACCCTTATCAACAGAGCTACACAGGGAAAAGCAAATTACTCTACATGTTCACCTGGCCAACAAGCAACAATCTCAACCTCAGTCTTATTTGGATTGAATATATGTATGTGCAGATCCTCCTACAAGAACATTACTACTTTTCAGAAATCATTACCACAGACTAAACAACAACAGTGGCTCTTTTCTTAGGCCATATCTACACTGTGTACCTTACAGCGGCTCAGCTGTGCCACTGTAAGGTCCTCCGTGTAGCTGCTGTATGCCGGCAGGAGAGAGCTCTCCTGCTGGGGAAATAAAACCATCCAACGAACGGCGGTAGCTTTGTCAGCGGGAAAGCGTCTCCTGCTGACAAACTGCTTTTGTCAGTAAAACTTGTGTCAGTCACGGGTGTGTTTTTTTCACACCCCTGACCAACAAAAATTTTACCGACAAAAATGCTGTGTAGACATAGCCTTAGTTACACTATAGAATCACAGAATATCAGGGTTGGAAGGGACCCCCTGCTCAAAGCAGGACCAATCCCCAGATAGATTTTTGCCCCAAATGGCCCCCTCAAGGATTGAACTCACAACCCTGGGTTTAGTAGGCCAATGCTCAAACCACTGAGCTATTCCATGACATGGCAGATTGTTCTCAAACTGAATAAGTATATCAATATATACAGTAGCAGAATTAAAGGAAAGCTGGTTTAAAGTCTAATACAGTTATCAGAAAGATTATTAGTACTCTTTTCTGAAGAGCTGAAAAAATTAACATGAACTACAGGAATTTTGCTGCTGAAATTTCAATGATTGACAAAATCAAAGCCATACAGCATTCTAATGCAGTATTTATGTGAAAAGAAGAACTTGTGATATGGATACATGTCCCTAGAGAGAAGTCAGTCTTCTCCCATACGAATTCAGCTGTTAACTCATCAATACTAATGATCAGACATTAGCATCTAAACGTTAGTTAAACACTTTTCAAAGGAACAAATGCGATTTTGGTCCCTACCTGTCCTTTGTGTCTTTGAGACTCTCCCCCTACAAACTCTACTGACTATACATACTTCATGAGAGTCACTTTCAAATCATCATCTGGGAAGAGGTGCTTTACTATAAGGGAGCGGACATCAGCTGGAGTGAATTGTCTGTAACTTGAAGTCTTTTAAACCATGATTTGAGGACTTCAGTAAAACTCTGCAAGAGGCTAAGGGTCTATTACAGGAGTGGTGGGTGAAGTTCTGTGGCTTGCAATATTCAGGAGGTCAGACTAGATGATCACAATGGCCCCCTTCTAGCCTTGAAGTCTCTGAGTGCATATCCATCAGATGTTTTCTGCCCAGGACATGCTGCACAGTGGGGGAGGAAGGATGGTCTTGTGGTTCAGGCAGTGGAACAGGACCCAGGAGGTCGGGGTTCTGTCACCAGCTCCACTACTGGCTTCCTCTATGATCTTTTGGCAAGTCACAATCTCTGTGTCCTGTTCCTGCCACAGTCACAATTTGAGATGCTGCATGGTACCTTGGTTTCACACTCTGGTTACATCTATACTAGCCAACTTCATAGCCATAATTTACCACCAGTTCAGCTCCACCCCTGGTAGGATGGGTGGAAGTTAAGTGTTTATACTGCCATGCCCAAGTTTACATAACAGTAGCTAAAACCATCAGGGCCCTCTCTACATCACACCATCCATCATTACTTCCTCTGGAGGAGCTGCATAAGTAACAGCATTAGGGCTGCAAGGTTCACCAGTGTAAACAAGATCTCAATGTGCCGGGGTTAAACAACAGACAGTGGGCCCTGGATTCAGCCAAAAAGTTATCCAAAAGTTATGCAAAGCCTGTAGAGCAGAGTATTCTATGGGTACCTAATATGCTTAGTGAGTGCAAGAGGAAGTGAAAGGTCATTTCACAGGAGAGTCACCTTATGACAGGATAAATATAACATAGTGCTAAGTGCTTTCATACCAATTATTTTAAATTTTTAATCAGATAATCACCATAAAGTTGGGACCAACTTTAAAAATTTCATTATTTAAAATGGAAACTCCTGACCAATTGAGGAGTGGGATTGGTAAGGAATTAAAATGCTGAGGGAAAAAAATGACATACTTGCCACTGAAGCCATACTCAGATCAAAGCAAATATCAAATAAAAAAAAATCAGTTTGTTTTTAAATTAAAATTTGTGTAATACAGCTTGTGATTACTTCTTAGATCTTAAAACAAAATGTCTTTATTGTTTAAATACCAAACACTTATAGCTATTGCTGATAAACTAAGGCAGTCTCCATGTTACCACTGTTAAAAGGGTGACTAAAACTGTATTATCAGAACCAAATTTGAGACTAATGCCCAAGGCAGAGCTCAGGGACATAGTTGCAGCAGGGTTTCAGAACTGCATCATGTAGATGCTAACCATACTATCCAATCTGAAATCATGGTAAGCTTCAAAAAGTGATTCAAAACTGATAGCAGCTGAGCTTTTTCCAGTTTATGTTGCCCTCACACTGTACATTATTAAAAAATGCTAATGCAGTGTTTGCTTATTATGAGCTTTATTCTAACACATTTTCAACAGATCAAAATTGCCAGATGATTTCAGTGCATTGCAATGTGTGAATTACTGTTCTGTTTATACAGTGAAACACACCTGTTTGCAAAGGTCCAACACAAGTCACTTCATAGATACAAGCCCTCTGCAAAGGGTTGCTTTTCATCCATAGTAAAGTGCTTTGACACAATATATGAGTTCACTGTAAGCCTGTTCCACTGTGCATCAGTATGTTCTTTTGAAAATCCAAGAAAAGCACAATTT